ACGTGACGATGAGGCTGAGGCCCTGCAGGAGGAGGACGGGCTTGTAGCGCACGTAGTCTGTGAGCAGGAACACTGGGAAAAGGAGAGCCAGGTAGGAGTATGTCCAGACTGGAAAAATCTGGTTGGTAACCTAGAACAGAAGAGAAAATGTCAGTGTTCTTATTGTTGAGGAAAGGAAGTTCATGTATTTTAAATGGTGTTGTAGAGGAGAGGGAAGTTTTTTCTCTGAAGGAATTCATAAAATATATAACCACATTGAATCAGCATGGGACTGTTGGGCAGGCAAATGGATCTTGGATCTGTTAAATGGATATTTTATTTATGCAGTCTGCTGCAAATTGCAACCTGTCAGAGCTAGTTAAATTTGTGCTTTTTTTTCTTTTCATTCTTTAAAAAAAAATTAAACAGTGTTTTCCATTTCTCTTTTCAATACAGTTAAAATAAATCATAGAATAAAGCCATACCTCATCTGTGGTCAGGTTTTTATCTGGTCCTGTTAGATAGGGTGTTAGGAAAGGTTCTGATGGTTTCATCATGTAGAAGAATCCATAGAGGCAGAGGATCAGGGTGGGAAAAAACCAGGCGCTGGTTTTCTCTTGCTTCCAGCAGCCCATGGCCTCTGCAGCAAAGCTGAGGATAAAGTTTGTTAGAATAATGACACTGCCCATTCAAGTGCAAAGAGATCTTGTAACTGGTTTTTATTTTGTGGTTTCTAATGCTAAGGAGTACTCTTTAGAGGTTGACGGTTCAAAAGAATTTTTATTTATAATGTTAAAGTGAATAGCTATTCCTTACATTTGTCTGCTGCTCTCTTTGTAGAAAGGGCGTAAAAAATGAGTTGGAAGATCCTTAACTGGGAGACAAACTACCCTGTCATTCTATCTGCACTGACCAAGATAAACACAGGAAAAGCCTTTCTAGATTGAAGTGGCTGAAGACAGCTGAGTACTGAGATTTCCCTTGACTCCATGACTGATCACAGCCAAGCACCTTTTAAATGACAAAGATAACTCTGGAGCCTAGCAGATGGAGCTGCTAAGAAATACAGAAAAGATATCAAACCAGACTCTCATCTGGGATTATCTGCATGAGAAGTCCATTTTGGATACAGACATCATATTTTCCATTTATAAACGTGGTCACAGAAAGTTAACAGTTCATGTTGAAATGAAATGAAGCAGGTATTTTTGTTCTTGTCATTAGGTGAGGTGGTGGAATAAATTAAAATTTGCAACTCTGCTGGACAGAGCCCAAACAAAAATCAAAATGGGTGTAAAGGGGACATGCAAAGAAAGTTAATATCCATATTCATGCTAGTATAGGCAATGTCAAGAATCTTAATGTGTGCAGTTTATCTTTTGGAGCCCTTCATATATTAGCAGGTGGGATTTCTATCACTCTGCTTTTGACTTTTATCTACTTCCCTACTGATAACACTTTCTTTTTTGGGCAAAAAAACGAATCTTATAAAAAATCTTAAAAATGAAGTAGTGTTTTTTTCACAAACTTTTTTTGTAAAAGCTGAAGAAAGGTCTATTCAACCCAAAGCAGTCATGTCCTGATGAGTATATCACTTCAGGCTGGATGGGCAGAGGATCCTTTTTTACAGGATGTGATATGTACAAAGCAGTAGGCATTATGCATCTTCTTTTCTGACTTCATGCTATGACAGCACGTTTTACTGACAGCCTGACACACTAAGAAATGGCTGCAGATCCAAGGGAATTTGAAGTTCTTCCTTTGGTGCATAAAAGCCAAAAGCATGGGCATTACAGGATTGCAGCAGGAAGGAACCCAGCTCTGTGTCAGCTCTGCAGTGTGAACCACTAGATGGCAAGGTGGCCCCAGCAAGGCAGACGAGCTGGGGAGAACTGACACGCTGAGTGCTGCTCCAGGAAAGAAGCATTTCTGCCCCTCCTTCCTCCTGGCTGTTGGAACATCAGCCTGCTGCGAACGTGGCTCTGGCAGGACCAGTTTGGGCCCTGCCCAGGATCGTGCTCACTGTGTCACCATAACATCCCGTGCTCTCTTCCCACCTGGCAATTATTAAAGCCATACAGCACCTAGTGCCATGGGAATGCTTTGTGTGATTCTGAGAGAATCACACCAGAGAGCGGGGTGGAGACCATCTCTAACACTGTAATGAGAAACATTTGTACAAGTCAGCTTCAGGACGTAGCCAGGGCATAATTTTCCCTTTCCAGCCTAGATTCTCTGCTCTGTTTCAGGTCTTGCCCTGTTTGCTCACCCTCCAGCAGGCTGTGTGAAGCAAGGGCAGCAAGTCTCATGTAGCCTGTCAAAATGTCACACACACCTTGGGGGTGAGTGGGCAGCTGCTGCCTCTGCAGGGCTTGCAGGGTGCTTGTGCTGCCCCTGAGATGCTGCCCATGGGGGGCAGGGCTTTGCCATCCCGTGCAGGAATTCATGGTTTCTGCTGTACACAGAAGAACTTGAGGTGTGTCCTGGTCACTGCATCCCTCCAGTGCCAGCTGTGCACTGTTCAGGGTTTGGGGCTACAGCTGTACCTCTCCAATCTGCATTTCTGCTCTTTGAGCTGCCAGGGTTAGGCCGGTAGGTGAGGTGAGAAGTTTCCCACTTGATACAAGGAGCTGTGCAGAAAAACCTGTCACTGGTGCTGGGCTGGGAGGGGCAGGGGGCTGAGGGCTCTCAGGGCAGCCCACTCTGCCCTTGGGGAGTGGGAGAGGCTGTCACCTCACCTGCCCTGGGCCTTGTGTTCCACTCACACCCCAGCCCTTGGGGAAGCCCCTCCAGCTCTGCAGCTGCTGTACAAGCCCTCCTTTCTGCATTCCTAACCACAAACCTCTGACAAACACAGCTCTGCCTTGCTGCTTGAGGGGAAAGGATCCAATTTGTTCCTTGTTCAGTCATCCCATGTGGTCAATTTGTCTTTTATAAATCTAGGTTTTGTTCACTTTTGAAGAGATTTTAGGATGCCTTGGTGGTGTTTTGCAACAAAAAAATCCTCTGTTTCTTTCTTCCTTCAGCAATTCTTGGTGCCAGAGCTGTCAGCTCTTCCACACACAGCCTAACACAGCCCCCCAGCTCCCCACTGAATTGCTCTCTTCTTTCCTCCCACTTTCCCTTGTCATTGCAGGATTTCATATTTCTAAAGTTCATATATAATCATACCTTCTGTGCTGGAGCTCTTCCTTTCTTACTTCCAAGGGAAAAGCCTCCTTTTGGTATTCCCAGTCTTACTTCTGGTTGTCCTTTGTGTATTGCAGCTGCTGGACTCTGTTTGGGTTTTGTGCTTTTCCTGTTCTTCTAGTGTTACAGCTTGCTCTGACACCTCCTTTGGAAAGGCCTCCAGCTGGCTTTCTTTCAGCACCCTTAAAGGAACAGCCAAATAATCCTGGCCTGACTTTGCCCCAAGACAGCAGTGAATCAAGACCCAAACTACAGTCTAGTGCCTGACTGGCACAAAATCAATAGAGGAAGTTCTGTTTCCAAAGAATTTTGGGTCTATTTGACAGGATATGTGGCTTGGGAGCCATCTGTGCCTCAAACTGACCTATATTAAAGAGGGAGCAGTAGCTGTGCGTGGGTAGTTACAGAGGTGAGGGTGAGCAAATACCACTGCTGTAAGGTTGGAAGGTATCCACACCACTTACATGGGGTTTAAAACTATTCTAAAAATTTAAAAGGTAAAAAGTGAAACACCCTGCTCTGCTTCCTCTTGACTTATTTGCTGGCAAATTTGTCAGATTATTTGCTTTGACAGGTTCTTACAGTGCTGCTGAAGATGGGGATAGCTGCCCTATAGCCAGCTTCAGAAGTTTCTGTGGGACTCACAACAGCAGAGTACACTCTGTGAAATGTACAGACTTTCACCAAAAGTATTTACACAAATTTAGATCCACTCCCACCCCGGTCTCACAGCATGTAGGTCTGGAATGAGTGATGTAATAATTATTTAGGAATATGACTGGTACAGTAGGAAAATGTGTAAATATTTGTAAATAACAGTGAATTATCCAACCAGAGGAAGGCAGCACCTTGGTTCACACACAGTAAAACGGAACAGTAATTTTATGGACACATACATGAATATGAAAAAGGTATGACATTCCTTGCTGGGTCAGACAAGTGTCTCAGCTCAGCCACCTTTGTCTTCACTCTTGGCCAGGTTTTGCAGCTTTTGCCTTCTATCCCTCAACAATCCAATATTACAGGATTAGTGATGTTAGAGGGGCCATCCCTGCCTCTTGCCTTTATAGCTTTTTTGTTGGCCTTTGTCCATGAAGCCATCTCCTCCTGCCTGGGGCAGTGCTGTGCACTTCTGGAGCCATGAGACACAGAGTTGGGAGGGAGCCATGGGGATCATCGTGTTCCACTCCTGCTCCTTGCAGGACTCTCTCCAGCTGAACCCTGTGACGCACGGAGCATCATTGGACACTCCTCACATGCTGGCAGCCTCTCTACTGCGTGTGAAACTAACTCCTGGAAGGAATGTAATAATTCCTTAGGGCTCTTTCCCAGCCATCAGTCACTGCTGATACAGATCCCAGAGTTATCTTGGTTCTCCTGTTCCATTGACCCTGCAGCTATAGGAGGTGACGGCCCCTCTGAGAGAACATTGAGAATACCTGCGTTTGGTTTTATTCTCACAAACGTTTGCTATAATGCAGAGAACTCTTGAGGGGAATGGTGTTACTTGGGGTTTGCATTGACTTACTGAAGAATCCAACTCAAATTTCTTGACACTGAGAAAAACTGCAAAATTCTGTTTTTCCTGTAGTGCAATAATTAGAAAGAATGATTTAAGTAAGTTCCAGGCATTGATGATTGGTTTCTCTGCTTTCAGATCCTCTTTTATCCTTTATTTCTTCTTTCCCATAGTCTTCAATCCATCTCGTTTGTAGTTAAAATTTCATGCTTTTTCACTGATTCACTTCTGAATGCCAAATAGGAGACTGTAAGCTTATGCAAGTTTTTGGTCAACTTGAGCCCTATGCTATAAGGAGCCTGCAGCAGAGCTTAACTGCTGGGTTTGAAGGGAACTACACTCTTTTCACCAAGTGCAGTCAGATGCAGAAATGTTGTTCTGCTTGGAGGGTGGGCTGGGCAATCTGTTTCTAACTGGCATCGCAATTCTGTTCACTTGGGAAAGGGAAGATTCTGTAAGAGTGGAGGAAAGGTGAGTTTTATGGTAGTGGTGTATCCTGAAAAATTAATCTAATATATTCTCTAATGAATCAAGGAGATAGGAAAATTCTGAGGGGAAGAAAGGCAGTAAAAGAACAAGACTGAAAACCTTTGTCATCTTGATACTCCCTTCTGCCTCTGCTGCCCCTTGGACTCAATCCTGATATTATCTCTGGTGCTTCACAGGATGGCACTAAGACTGAAAGGCTCATGGTGGCAGCATGAGGTGTCTCTCTGTCTGGTTGGGCACTGAACATCAGCTTACAAATCAAATCTGCTTCTTGACACCTGCCCAACTCAGACAAAGAGGCTTCTTCAATCAAACTGATAGCTTATTCTATTTGAAGAATGTGTACTTTGTTCTCTAAAGCAAGTGATAGCAAAGAAAATTTTCTGTGGCTATCACTTCCTTTAGAAAAATACTTTCCTTCAGAAAAATACTGAAGATTTTTCTCCATTTGTGGCCAAATACAGCCTATGCACAGAAAGGTTTCGATGGCAGTTAGAATAAAGTGTATTTTTGTCAGATTTCTCAGACCCAGGAGTACTCACAGGACAAGTTCATGTTCTGACATACGGATCAACTGATCTTTATCTTTTCTCGTGTACTGCATGCTCACTTTGGGAACAAGCTTCTCTCTGCAGGCTGGCCCTGAATCCCACAGTGTGTGGGTGAGTGTTTCCATGACTTGTGTCTCGGGTGAATCTTGCCCCAGGTTCCTGACGTAGCAAGACATTGACATCCTGGGCTCAGGTGATTTTCATCTGAGACACAAAAATGAATATGCAAAGCTTGAACTGGAATATATAGATAGAAGGTACTAAGGGCATTACTCCAAGGGGTAGGTTAGGAAATACTTTCAACCAAACTAACATCACAGGTACTTGGTTTAAATGTACACTTACAGCTGCTTCCTTATTAAAAAGTAATGCTATAAGGCTATTTTTCACTATGCTGTACCTTACCCTAAGGATAATGCCTACCCTTTTTATCTATTCACTCTTCTTAACTCTTGTCACTGGAGTGCCCATTGCCACTGGCACCATGCCAGGGTAGTGGCTGCTGGTAGCAGGGCGGGAGCTGGAACAAACAGCTGTGCCATTAATCATCACCCTGAGACATTTTGAGGGGGTTTCATTCTTTTTTCTTCCAGGCAGCATTTTTGTGTTGGCACACTTGGGCACCAACAAGACCTGGACCTCTTGTTATAATGTGCTACCAACATGGTATGGAGCACATAGAAGTCCTGTGATGAGTTTATAAAGACTGGTTGAACCTACTTTGGTCATGCTTTAGGTCCCTTTTGTAAACAAAGAAGGGAGCAAATGCTGGTTTGAAGGCATTTACCATTTACCCTCTTAATCTCCTCTTACTGGCCAGAGAAAGTTAGGTTGCATTACCTTTCTGCAATATAGGTCACTGGCTGCTTTGTCTCCTTTTGGTTACAGGTTAGATGCTGAATTCACTCTAGGTGAGAGATCACTGATGTAGTTGTGAGAGGCTGAGCAAGGAGCATCTGATTGCAGTGGGTGTCCCTTTGGAAGCATTGCCAAGGCTTTACAGGCATCCTTATTTGCACGGCAGTGCCCTGCATTGCAGCTCTCTGATTTGCTCTGTGCCTCTTGCAAAAATCTCTCACAGATCTTGGGAGGTTTCCAGATAAAGGTGTTTCCCACTCTCTGAGGACTGGGTTTGGTTATCTGAGGACTGGGTTGATTGAACAAGCTTTTACTTTCTCCCTCTTACTGGCACAAAGCACACTGCTCTCCCAGCTGAGGCATGCAAAGCAGTGAGGTGTTGGAAGGTGGAGAAAACTTTTGCGTTGCATTTAATGACAGCAGAACAGAAAGATTTACAGAAGAACAGGTTATACCTTAAGTAGGTCATTTAGTTTTCCTTATATTTTTCTTCTGGATCATCAGTGGAGGACAGGAACCACTCTTTTGTCAGTGGAACTCTCTAAGGATTTTCCTTTCTAATTAAATATTATGAGGTCACTGCTGTAGGTTTGCAGCTGACTTTTGTGCTAGTGCTGACTGTGGCTGAGTGCACTGGGCTCTGGTGTCCCTCTGTCCCCTACACTGTCTGTCAGCTCTTCTAATGGCATAGAAGCCATCAGGGTTTAAAGGAAGAACAGCAATTTTTTGTTTCTCAATGAAGTGGGGAAAGATGATTCTGGTGAGAAAAAAGTGACACATAGTAACAAAAAATGAGCAAAAAAGTATTGCTTTTAAGAGGTGAGGAAGAATATGAAAGACTCTATTAAGCTTCATGTTTAGAATTTCTAACCACAGTTAGAAATAGATGTATGTAGGATGCTTATCCCAGCACCAAAAAAATCTCCCCTATCTCCAAGTTTGCTCCTTGATGATTTGGCCTGGTGACTTTAACATCTTATTTGTAGTTTTTGTAACAATGCCATACAATCCAATTCAATACCTGTGCTTTAGTCTTTTTTGGATTGCATACCTTTAAAATCTCCAGCTAATTAACAAAAGGGAAGTGATATATACGTCAGAGAAATCTCATTTGAAATGGTTAATAGTGACTTGTAGTGACTAATGCTAATGCTCACTCACTGTGGTTTGCCAAAGAGAAATGAGAGGAAAAGCCTGGAGGGATTTCTAAGGCACTTTCCATGTTGAAATAGCACTTTCCAGGGTGTGTTCCCCTGTAGACTTATTCCACAGGCCTCCCACTAGTGGCAGATATTGTCCTGCTGTCACAGACGCATATCTCATTTCAGAGATGCAAATTTATGTTTGCACAACCTCTGTGTGTAGGAAGTTTCATTCAGCTCAGCATATCCTCTCTATATTTCTTTAACCTCAAGGTTCATCTCATTATAGACACCATGGGAGACTCTGAATCATTGCAACAGCCCAAGTAGTGTAAAGTCCTGCTGGAAGAACATTTGTCACATTTTCATAAGTGGTCATAACAAGCTGGCTGCTTCATTTAATGCTAACCCTCTATTGGCAACTGAAACAGACTTAAAATAGGTCCATTATCCTGCTAGTGTTTGCTTAAATGTAAGAATTCTTGCACTTAAAATGTCCTGAGTTCTTCTAATACCTTGACTTTTTGTCAGCTCCAAAGAGTTTTGATCATGGAGTTA